TGACTCGTTCTGTAGTCATTCAATTCGGACTGAGCCTGCCTGGAGTATCGCGAGAGTGCATACGTGACCTGAGGGATTCTTTAAGCTCCGTCCTAAAAGTATTCTCAAAGACCGAAATTAAAATTTCAGTTTTACCACCGCAGATACAACCAGTAGTTTAAAATTATACATCCAAACTATAAACCGTTGAGCAGCTTGAACCCAATCTCTCGTGTCTTGTGGATGTTTTTACAGCAAAGATGAAGAACAACACTCTTAGAGAACTTCCTTTTCAGAATGCTCCAGGTGCGTGGGTGATGTATTGTGTTTCGTGAATGAGGATAGTGATTCAAATGACCCAGTGGTAAAATTCACCTGTGTGAATCCCAATGTTGAGTTTACTACAGAGAGGCCGAGAAACCAGATCGCATTACTTGAGATTTACAGGAAAATGATGAAGATAAGACTATCTGAAACACGGTTTGATCTCAGTTTAATGTACGAAAATTCATACCAGACAATGGGTGCCAGGAAGTGTAACTATCAATTTTTTAAACGGCTGCACAAGAAAAAAAAATACGAACACCACGGTCGTGATTATTTTGCTCAGGTTGCGCAGTTCTGTGGTTTGGTGAGCGAGTTCAATAAAAAAAAATTGAGGGAACTTACGATTTATCGGGTACGGGCAGTGGGTCGTCGACCACGAACTACACGTGAGTTAAATTTCAACTGTCCACGCAGATTAGCGGCCGACTTGCTCGTTTGTTGCGTTCGAATTCGACGTCTAGTGCGCTTCAGAGTGGGAACATTTTTTGGTGGTTTGACCCGATAAATGCGAACCAACCAATGCTCTGAGGTGAACGCTTCCTCCAAATAGTCCAAAGTGATATGCTTTTTACCGATTTCGACACCGCGCGTTCGATCGAAGCCAGCCGGGTGTCGCATGTCCAGCCGCACTTCACCGAAACGATAGTAGCTAAGTTTGTACATCAAACAGTTCAACATGGTATTGGATGCGCTACTATCCACACGGTACTCTCCCTAAAAAAATTGAATGGAAAAAAGATTACAAGCGACATTATTCCTAGTTAGTTATATACCTTGGTGAAAGAAAAGTGTGTTAGGCAGCAATGTTTGGTGCTAGTCAACAGCCTAGACTATTTTGTGAATCTTTCGCGTTTCATCCTAAGGTCAGTGAAGTTATGAGCTATGGGGCTCGAGAAAAGGCATTTGGGTGGTTAATCGTGCATCAAGGGGCATTGCTTCATTGAATAGACCGTTGCCGACGATTAGCGACAATGGACTACGTAGAGGGTTTCCTCAAGTCAGCGATGCCTCTGTAACAAGAAAGGCACAAAGCATCTTGGGGTGCGTGGAACTGGCCCGTTGCATAATAAGGCCGTTGTTATCATATTATCTCTTTAGGTAGTTTACGGCTGTGCAAAGGGTGCATGCTAGAACATATAAGCCAAGCAATACCGAGGACGTTAATTTCTGGGCTTCTCCGTGGTCGACTCATCGCACATGTAGGAGAGTTACCTAAGTGTAACAGTATCATTTGGCTTAGGATGGTCGGATTTGAAAACTACGCAAGTGGGAGAAGTGACGACGGTTAACGTCACACAAAATATGGTAAGACAATCCATGGTCCGAAATTTCAAATTTAGAAATCAATCGAACGAGTAATATATTTTGGGTAATGAAATCATTTAACCGGCGCATTGATGACTACTTTCTATTGGTTTGTCAGATAGGGTACCAGGGAACATCAACTGAAACTCTAGCGTGGAAGTGCAAGATGGTACGAATAGAAATAGACTATCACTGAAGACAACACCTGAACAAACATGAATTGGCAATTTAGTTCAGTCATGGCATGCGCTGGTTGGCGTAATGGTAACGCACACGCCTTCCATGTGATGGGTCCGGAGTTCAAAGCCCGGACAAGACGGTGGATATGCGCTACTAATGAGCTCTAACAAGAGCGAAACTCGAGTCTAGTGCTCCCGAGTGTGGTTGAATCGATGAACTGAGGATTGTGCGTGAAGGTGAAATCCGAAGGATAGTCAGTCAAGTCAATCAATATCAATTATCCCACACACACTACTCACAAATAACTGTAAGTAAAATACAAATAGAAGTGTCTAGTTTGATGGTATTAGAACTGTAAGTGATAAGCCGGTACATCTTGACCAAAATGTCTGACCTATCCAGTTTGGTTGGCTCCATGCGATATCAGCTTAGTGCACTGGTCAAAGGATGCTACAGATTTAGAAAAACTATTCTGCTACAAAGAGAATAACAGTGAACCCCTGAAGGTCTTTGGAGAGTAAAACACGTTTTTCTTGGTAGAAAATGTAACAATGACCACAGAAAAAGACTGCGGATGTGGTGGTGGTACAATGGTTTAGTCGCTGTCACTGGCATGATTTGAACCTCATGGGTCGAGGTTCGAGCCCCGCCACCACCACCCAACTTTGGTGGTAGGCAGCTTCGCTGTCGTCCGGTTCAGTAACACTGACCTAGCGGGGCCTCACTCCAAGTCCTGGAGCTTAGGTTCCCAGTTTCCATCAACGAAAAACAGATCTCTGTGATTATGGGGTTTAACCCATCTGCCGTTCATCACACAATGTGTGCAATAAGATTTTTTTTAATAGAAACCTGCTTGGGCGCGGAGTGACAGCGAACAACCAGAGAGAAGGAATGAAGGTTGCTGAAAAAGCAAACTTAGCACACAAAAGCAATAAACCTCAAGACTACCAAGTGATGGAAGAAAACGATATCTAAAGTAGAAATTCAATGAATTCTAAGGGGGCACTCAAGATGAGGGTATCACTTGGTTCTATCAAGCTAATCTCACAGGAAGGGTGCGGAGTTAGGTTTGATTGAGCAATGCGATATATATATATATATATTGCAATTAACTAATCATTACTCGTTACATTCAACAGTGCTTCTGTGAAAAAACATCAGGAAAGATGGCTACGATAATCGTCCACGCGATAGGGATGTGGTAAACCGCTTAGCATTATATTAGGTTAGAAAGGACAATGAGCAACCAAGTGTAGTTTGTCGTTTTTTGATTACGCACCTCACCGTGATGATCAGCAGACGGAGAAAAATTCATAGTCACGAGGACCTGTTGTTCATTGGTGGAAACCTGTAACTTAAGCCCCTGGACTTGGTGCGGCGAACCTCATAAGATCCCGATAGGTTAGGTGGTATTGAACCCGACGACAGTAAGGCTGCCGTCCACCAAAGTCAGGTGGCGGGGCTCGAACCACGGACCATAGGGTCCAAATACGCCCCTGACAACGACTAAACCACTGCGCCACTACCACCCGATTTCGACACGTAATTTCTCTCCTACGATTCCAGCTATATCGCGACATGCGCGAAAATCGCTGATGCGTAACCTTGACTGGGAAATACATTGCAACGGTTCAAACAAAGAAAAGAAAGGATGACATTTGACGCATCGACTATGAAAAATAAAAATACCTGAGGGGTCAGAAAGTCCCGTTCTTGAATCTCGTCCGGATGTTCACCGCCACCTATGCGAACCATCCACAGAAATTTATTGATATCGTCACCACTGTAGCCGATGTAACCGCCAAAGATCACGAGGACGTAGTCAACATCCAGGCTTTGGATTGTCTGGTCAAACAAAATGTCGGGGTACAGCAAAAATGCATACAACACAACGCTGAACGTAATAAAGGGACTTCGTATTTAGATTGCAGTCAGTCTGTATTTGGTTTCACGCGATAAGGGAACCATTACAAAACAAAAGGTAAATACGGCTCGAGAAAACTACTCAACGATATGAAGAACATAAATAATATGAGGACACCTAAGCGACCTGGTGTCTGCCAATTGGGCAAGAGTATGAGCTCGATAAACGAGTTCAACGAATAAAAGACATCGATACGTGCTCCTAATCCAGTTAGATTGTCTTTCTTGACTCAACGTTTAAACACAGAATATCCATTTTGACAAACAACTGAACTTACGGTTTTCATTGGTATTTATGGTATATTACACACCGAGCATGAGGAAAAGAGCTCAAACGTCACATCATGATCCGAGAGAATGAAGTGTTGACAGTGTTATTAGTTTGTTGCATAAGTTCCCGCCGTTACATAAAACTATTTGTTCTACAAAGACTTTTTGATGTTTGGCGAAGTGTTATATACCATTAGAAAACCCGTGCTATGCTCTATAAGATTAATGTAATCGTTTTTCCCTATATTATTTTGTCTTTTTTAGCACCGTCAAATGGATTGTCAAGTCGACAAAAAATCGCACGTTCGACACCTTTTCGCCTTTCATCTAGGTCAAAAAGCGAGTGAAGCCAACAGAGAAATTTGTGTCGTGTATGGAGAGGATGCTATAGTTGGGAGAACTGCTCGGGATTGGTTTGCCAGGTTCAAGCACAATAATTTCTACCTCAACGATACTCCTCGTTCCGGAAGACCAGTTGAAATGGACGAGGACCAACTCAGGGATATTTTTGAAGATGGCCGTTAGACATGCAGACAATTGAGTGAAAGGATGAATTGTGATTTTCGACAATTTTACGCCACGCCAAGCTTGGGATTTGGGTCCCGCACGAACTCATCCAAAAGCAGAAGGATACGCGGCTTTTCATTCCTGCTCAAAATCTCGCTCGACACCAAGGAACCCATGGACACAGGCAACGGTTCTCATACATAATCGTCGCTGGAGACAATAAATGGTGTCTCTATGTGAATGTGAAGCAAAGGAAAGAGTGGGTGAGTCCTGGAGAGAAGCCTAAGCCTAGGATCGAGAAGCACCTGCACCCGATGAAGACATTCATTTGCGTATGGTGGGATTGGGAGGGTTTAATCCACTCGGAAATGCTTGGAAAGAACATGACAGTAGAGAATAATCGCTATAAAACCCAATTGCGTCGAGTCAAAGGTGATTCAATAAAAAAGACCGGATCGACAAGGCCAGGTGATCCCCCTCCATGACAATGCTCGACCACACCGCAAAGCTGTCTAGATGGCACTCCAAAAGCTCGGTTGGGAGGTCCTTCAATGATTAATGATACAGAGAAATTGAGAAGATGCATGAACGCCACTGTTTACGACACCCAGCCATATCATTCAGTGTCTCTAACCATCGGGTACGACCATCCCGAGGCCCCCAGCCGACGGATTACCATCTCTTCCGCTGCCTTTCAAATAAAATGAGGGGTCAAAGCTTCGAAAACCAGGATCATGTTGAGAATTGGCTCAACAACTTCTTTAAGACTCGACCTAAGGATTTTTGGCGAAATGGAATCAACAAACTGCTGGAAAGATGGAAAGAAGTAGTAAACAATGATGGAGAGTACATGATTGATTGATGTATTATTTTTGTTGTTAAAATGTGAAGATTTCAGTAAATATATAATTGACTGAGTCATTATTTTGGTTGTTGAAATTCTTTGATTTCATTGAAAATAAATGTTTAAAAAACCGCGGAAATTTATTCAACAACCCAATACCTTACACACAATCATAACTCGTTTTATGCGATTACTTCTCACGTTAGTAAAGGTTTAACCCATGAGCATACTCGAAAACCTCTGCTTGCACAGGCGTTTGACAGTCATATCACAAATTGAATTTCGGTTGATATTATATCCGCACCAAACGCAAATAGGTTGCATAGTCAGTATGTTATCAATTTACGTGAGTCGAATGGAGACAAAGTCTCGGAAGATTTCTTCTGATAGCCAGAGAGAATGTAAAAAACGTAAGTGGCGTTGTCGGGGGAAGTGTGGAATTTTCTAGGATTTTAAACAGGGTTGATGATGGCTATTCTGTTTCTACAGCAGACGTTCATCGTGCTCCGTAAACAGCAGTGATCGAAAAAATTTTGTTTTTGAATATGCTCATACAGTAACGACCAAACTTCAGTCATAGGTGAAGACATGTCGGATGAGAACCATAAACATGAGCAATTTCATGAGGAAGCATATATTTCTGCATTTTCTAGCAAACAATTAGTTTCCCCTTGACCCAGTGGAACTGTGGAGCCCAGATAATTGAAATTTTGTATAAAATTGAATGCTTTCGTTTCCCTTCATTGTGTGCATTAGGCAGTTTTACGCTTTCTTCTCCAACGAAAGAGCCCACAACCTGATAACAATGACAGAACAGCTGGCGCAGCTGACGGTATGACAGTAAGTAGAACTTTCTTCTTTANTTACAAGTGAAATATGGGGAGGAATTCGTCCGTTATTTGAACAATTAGCTATGTTCGAATGCGTCGAGGTTAGTATTTTCCAACCGTAAATCTTTACGGAACTGGACATGATTGTGAAGATGGACCGACCACACAAATTAAAAAAGCGAATTATTATATGCAAAAATAAGATACGAAAAATTCGATTATTCGATTCGATTATTATAATACCAAGGGCACAGTCAGTCTACTCAGTTTAAGCTTGTCTAATAAGCTACCTCAGTGCTGTCGGGAGTACCAAATACAAACAGTTTTTTACCGACAGAAATAAAATATACCTGTGGCACACCATCTGGGGTTGGAAATATATGAAATATACATAACAAAATTTACGCGCAACCTTTCCGGAAAATGGTGCACAGAAGGGGAAAGCAATGAATCTCAACAGGGACGTAGTCCCCGCAACGACACACGGGCGTAGCGTGCGGGAATATCACCGGAGAAAATGTTCAGGACAACCTGAAAAAAACATAGTAGCTACAGCTCGCTACACGACCTACAACTGACTACAAACACAACGCTGGGATAACGCAACCACAATGCTTTCGACCGAGGTATTGCTCTCAACTACCGCGCCAGCTCAAGAGGGAGCCCAACGTTTGGTTGAAACTGTTGGATATGAGCTAAAAGCAAAGAACCGTGCATCTTCCTGTTATGGTTCGGAGTCGACTGTATTTAATCGAAAGTTAGTGTGACTTCATTTTGAACTTGTTCAGTCCACGTCTGGCCCCTCGATAAGCGTTATATGTGGAAGCATGTGAGGACCAATTATAAACGGAAATCTCCTAGTCACTGAATCGAATTTATCTCAGCAACAACAAAGGGAACATACAGAATCCATACAGACTGCGGTTGCAAGAATATTGAGTAGATGCGCGAGCACCACTGTTTGTGACACAGCCATGTCACTCAGCGTCTCTAATCACCGGTAACAATCATCCCAAGGTCCTCATCCAGGGAGACTAATATGACTTATGTGACCGAGTGTCCTGGTTAGTGNTTTTCACATCCTCATGCCAGATTTGACCGCCTTCAGCTTTTTTCATCGGTTACCTGCCTCGGCAAACATCGCTCGCCGTGGCAACCCATCAGGTGGCATGCGCAGCATATGTCCCAACCAGCATAATCTATGGAGGTCGAACATTTGCCCCAGTGGGCAACCGTGGTTACCTATAACTACGCCTAACCTCTGAATGCCTCAGTATGGTCGGGAGTGGGTGTCTCGGGCTCTGAAATGACGATTCACCCCAAACTCCTCTAGAAATGCTCCCAAACGACCAAGCGCCTCAAACAGCTTCTGCTAAGGAAGTCCTATCCACTGCCTTCTTGAAGCAGAGGTGTAACTACTAAAGTAGGAGGGCAAAGGCGAATGCCCGGCGCTTTCCATCAGGTTGACTGACCACAGGTAGTCAGTCTAGGGGAGTTGGCGAAACCCTGACTCCAAACCACCCACACCTGGGGTAAGAAGCTCATAGCGGCACTAATCTTCGGCTCAACCGAACCAGTCTCCTAAGTTAACCTTTGGAGTCGACCACCATGACGCTCACCGGCGAGTGCGCGGCTCAAGGGCAATCGGGTACAATCTGGGCACCGGCTCCCATAGGATCGTAGACTCCCTACTCCACCCCACTGCCCTGTGGGTCAGGTTCTTTGATCAAAGGCTATGTGCAGTGAAACTCAGAGGTCAAAAAGCAGAAACCAAATGAACGATGCTTAAATGAGGTTTCTGCATACGTTCCCAGACTGTAGCCCGGATACAGTCAAGGACACCTATCAAAACCTACATGAGCCTCTTCTCAAAGCACCTAGGACGGATATCGTGATCCTGGCCCGGAGACCTAAACGCATGCGTTGGTCGTCTGTCACCCGATGAGACCCACCTTGGTGGTCATCATGGCCTTGATAGCTGTCGCTCAGATAATGGGGATAGACTTCTTAGCATATGCTCAGAACACGGTCTGTTCCTCGTTAGCACGAATTCTAAGAGTCACCTCGCCACCTAGCGTAACCCCTCTTCGGCACAGACATGGAGTCAGATTAACCATATAGCTATTAGCTATATAGATGGAAAGGATGTGTGAAAAACTGTTGTTCGTATTGGTCTACCTGCTTGGACTCCGATCACGCACTGGTTTGTGCCAAGTTGTTTATGCGATTTGGTGGCCGCAAAAAGATGCGATGCAAACAGCTCAACGTCGCCAAGCTCTCTGACCCGGTCGTACTAGCCGATTACCAAAACGAGTTGGCCGCAAGCGTAGATCAGCACTGGACAACCATTCAGAACGCAATGCACTCAGTCCGTTTACACCGTTGTGGCCTAACCCGCTGAGTTGTAAATCACTGGGTCTCCTCCAACTCCCTCACACTCCTCGACGCGCGTCGGGCAATCCCGGCAGACC